TTCATCCAGCTCTACACCTTGTTATCTCAGATTCTCCAGCATCTGCAGTTCCTACTATCTCTGAAACAATGTCAGATTAGCTTTGGTTTGCAGAATTAAACTACAAGTGTGATGTTCATCCCTGCAATGACACACAATTTGGTGATAGAGGTTGGCTTCAACTGTTTGATCCTCCACCAGCCAATTGTGTTTAGTCACACACCAGGTCTGCTCATTTAATTGAGGGCATCTTAAGACTAGGGTCAGAACCTTTGCTGATTTTTCTTTCTATTTAATTTATTAATCCATTTTGGTTTGTAGTTGTGAAATGCAATGAGCTAATGATGATCTTTGGACTGTGAACCGCAGCTTGTGTTTAAAAAACAGAACACACAAGCTGTTAGTTTGTTTGTGAGGCCAGGCTTCGAGGTTAATTGCAGGTTGGTTCTTGATCAAGAGCATTCCACAGACTCTTCCTGAAAGTGGGAGAGCAGCACGTTTAACCAGATAAAAATGTTTGTTAACTAGTGAGATCAGTACCTGAAAATTGGTGCGAACAAGCCTAGGAGAGAAAGTGATGGTCAAACAAAGGGATAGATCAGAGTTTGAACTAATTTCTAGGACTGTATTTTTGAGAGAATGAGTTTGGCTATTGATCTAACAGCATGAAGATTTGAATGTTCCCTCTCATTATCAATAATGGAATGTCACAGAATAGGAACTATGGTCTAACTATTACTGACTTCCTCAGAGTGAATTCAAAGGTGGCACAGATCAATATCTTCAGAAAATCAATCAAGAAACCATCAAATATGACTATACAACAAGACATGAAAACCACTTAATCTGGCCAATTTTGCTATTTTCTTTTATTTATCCTTTAACTGTGTTTGTTTGTCAGTCTGTCTTTTGTGTGACTGGCGCTGAAAACAAGGTTATTGGTTTTAAAACAAAGACATAAATTATTTCATTGTTTGCTTTTGCTCTGCTGTATTGTTAATAAATTGCTTTTTTTGTTGAAGCTACAAACCTGGCATGTAGAATTCATTATCTGCAGAGTCTGGGATTATTTATACAAAAGTCTGGTTAGGAATCATTGGGGTCAAATGTGAGCGACTTTGAAGATTTTAATTTTACTCTGTTGTGAATACAGAGGAACAGTGATTTAGTTTGGTTATTTGTCTCCCTGTCGTAACACCAGTTAAAGACTCTCCTAGCCTCTACGTGGTTTTGAGTGTCTTGCAGTGTGAGACAAATTAAGTTAGCCTGGTGCTTTTCTTTGTTATAGTTACAGCACTCAGTAGCAAGGTCAGTGTGGTAATAATGTTGAAAATAAATAAAAAGGATGGAAAACTCCTTGACTCACAAAAATAAAACAAGTAGAAATTTGTGACTTAGCTACTGTAGTTACGAGTGACCTGGTGGCTCAGTGGATAGCATTGCTGCCTCACAGCGGGGACCTGGGTTCAATTCCAGCCTTGGGTGACTGTCAGTGCGGAGTTTGCACATTGTCCCCGTGCCTGCATGAGTTTTTCTCTGGGTTTTCTCTGTCCTCCGACAGTCCAAAGATGTGCAGGCGAGGGTGGATTGTCTGTGCTAAATTGCCCCATAGTGTCCAGGGATGTGCAGCCTAGGTGGGTTAGCCATGGGAATACAGGGATAGTGCAGGGGGTTGGGTCCGGGTGGGATGCACTTTGAACGGTTGGTGAACTGTAGAAATCCTATGAAATCAATATCAGGTGGAATTTATGAGAGAAATCTGATTGGTCATTGCCTATGTTTCATTTAATTTCACCCACATCAATACATACCTTACAACTTCGCATTTGTGGATTGCAGGGGCCAATTGTTTCATCCCCTCCTCCTGAACATAACATTTCTCCAAATTCAACTCCGTCAATGATTTACAAAGTTGTACAACATGAGACATTACAGCACAGTCCATTGGACTCAATCTCAGTGCATTATGTGGATTGGAGTCCCCAAAATTCAAACGTTCCACAGATCCAATGGTTTTCTGGACTAAAGCTCCATTCTGAGACTCCGACAGATAGTGAAATATGTTAAGCAGTTTCCTCTTTCCCGTGGCTCTGTCCATGTTTTTGATTTCTGCCTGAACATTGGCTTGCAGCCAGTCTATCACCTGGCAGGTTGTGTGATAAGACAGCGGACCCAGGAATGTTTCCAGCTGTCGGGATGAAGTGGGACTTGAAAGACCAACCAGAAATCGAACGAAGATCTCAAACCGACCATCGTCCTTTTTAAAAGCCCAGTGAAGCATTTCCACCACGTTTTGATGCTTTGGATTCAAGTACTGAGCGAGGGCCGCCAGGAATTCTTGGATGGTAAGGTGGAGAAATGTGTACACGATGGTTTTAGCTGCATCATCTCTTTCCAGGATCTCCATCATGAATCCTGAAATGAATTTGCTGGGCTCCAGCTGATGTTGAATGAAGTGGTTCTCATTGAAAACAATTCTCCTTTTTGCAACTCCCTGGTAAGCCAACTCCCCAAGTCGTTGTAAAACCATCCGCTGGTCCTCAACATCTCGCTTGTGGTTGTCCAAGAGGTTGGAAAGGTAGATGGAAAAAAGTTGAGTGATGGTTTTGGGAAGAGGTTGCCTGCACTTCGATTGTGTAAAGAGGGGGCCTAAGGTTGAGCAAATGATCCAGCAGTACGAAGGGTTATAGCACATGGTGTACAGGATCTGGTTCTCCTCCACATGTTTGAAGACTTTGGCACCAAGATTCTCAATCCCAAAAAACTTTCTGAAAAAGTCTTTTCTTTCATCAGCAAGAAAGCCCAGGATCTCAGCCCAAAGGTTGATGTTGGCCTTTTCCAATAAGTCAAGTGCTGTTGGCCGGCTGGTGACCAGTACAGAACAACCTTTGAGCAACTGTTGCTGTACCAGGGAGCGGACGATTTCAGAAACTTCGCAACTGCAGTTGGGCCCAACACAGCGACTCGCAGAGATATCACTAGCCACATGACCTGTGAAATCAATTGGGTGTTTGTATTCATCTAACCCATCGAAAACTAACAGAAGATGTTCAGGTTTCATCCAGATATCTTCAATTATCTTTTCTAAATAAGGGTACAAATCCAACACCATTTTGTTTAGAGAAACAGCTGCCTTTATGGCATTAAGATTTCGAAATGTGAAATGGAAAACAAACTGGAACTGAGGATAGATGTTTCCCGCTGCCCATTCGTGGACCATCCTCTGCACCATTGTTGTTTTCCCAATGCCAGCCACACCGCTAACCACCGTGGTACCGGACAGGCTGGAGTGGCCGAAACTGCTCCTGAATAGTTGATCGATCCGGATTTTTTCAAGGTCACTAGTGATGTACTTCCGCTGCCATTCTTCATGATCTCTGCCTCTGGAAAGGAGCTCATGTTCCACTAGTCTCCGTTCACGGAGAGTGGAAATAATGATAAGTTCTGTATATCGATCGGTGAGGGAGATGGTCACTATTTTGTCCTTTCCTTTGATGGTGCCTTTAACCACATGCTCAGTTCTGAGGAGGAGGTGTTGCTTGTGTTGATCTTGTATGTCTGTCGTGACAATGATCAAAATTATGTTGGCATTGTTTTTATTTGTTAATTAACAACATTAAAACAATCAATTAAAGAGAGACAACAAGGAGTTCGAGTTGGGTAGCAATATGTGAGTCAAATGCCAATTTTAATATACTTTGTTAGAAATTAATATTGCCTAATAATAACTTAAATTGAATATAAATCAGGGAGAATCAGATGGATTATAGTCGATTTTACATTATGACAGACAAGCCATTCTACTCTATCACCACTCACTTCTGCATTCAAGGAGAATTTAACATTGTAACATTTGACAAGCCAAACATTATCCCATCGTTTACTTATTATTCACTGCATTCATTTTTTTTTTGTCTAGTGTCCCCAGTCGAGATAGTATGGAGTGTTTGTGAGATTCATGTCTGCTTTAATCTTAGACAATTTACACTGTTACCAAAATTATACAGAATCAAATGAGTAATTGGCTGAAAAAGTAGTTGCAATTGATATCGCACCTTGCACTATCACTTAATGTAAACATATAAACCAATAGCTAAATAGGGACTGTGCATAATACTCACTATTTCAAAGCTTAATATTGGTGACAAGCTGACAAACCAGTGATACAATTAAATATACTATGTGAACCATAATTGTAAAATAACACTTTCAATGTACAGCAAGGATCATACTGGGGTCAATTTTATCAAGTCATTGTCCATTTCACAGCATAAGCTGAAACCTCTCATTGCGCAGCCTAAGATTGCATGTGAATAGACTCCCTATCTACTCTGAATCTCCATGTGAATCTACATATACCCAGCCTGACATCATAGATTAATCCACGTTTTAATAAATATGAGATGAGAGATGAAGCACATCTGCTGTCTGTATGACCCTAAACGTGTCTCCAAGTAAACCAACCTGTCTGTCTCCTCTCCACCTATCTTCTCCTTTATCCATCTTCTATCCGTCTCCCCTTCTCTCCCTATTTATTTCAGAACCTCCTTCCCCTCCCCCATTTCTGAAGAAGGGTCTAGGCCCAAAACTTTCCTGCTCCTCTGATGCTGTTTGGCCTGCTGTGTTCATCCAGCTCTGCACCTTGTTATCTCAGATTCTCCAGCATCTGCAGTTCCTACTATCTCTGTCGATATTGAGGTTTACATTTGCATGAAGGCACAGTAAGTCCTAGTACTGACAGCTAAAGCAAGACTTCTTTTCAGACACTGGTGTGAATAGAAGAAAACAAAATAGTGGCCTGAGCAAGTACCAGGGAAAATTTTGAAGCTGTCTGACTTGCAAAACTGAATTTGTAGTTTAGCATCTAAAACTGGAAAGTTAGACTCAGTCTACTCAGGAGCAGAGGGGAAAATCAAAATGGGCCCTCAGCAATTTCCAACAAAGCCTAATATGACGCATGTGGCATTTAACTTGTGGCAGATGGAACACTGTCCATGCCCAAGATCCATTTCATTTTCTTCGTGTTGTAACTTTGATTATATTTTACAGAATAAGTTTGTGGTAACAATTTGAAGGGATTGGTTCCTTTCAGTTATGAAATATGAGGCACAGTAATGTGTTAGATCTTAATTAATGCTGTACCTTTTTATGATTAATGATTAGTTTTATTTTGACTTACCTTTGAGGTGATCTGATAGCTTCCCTTCCGTCTGACTGATGCGTGCATTACATAGCAAGTCAAAACCTGGTAAAGACGTTTCATTTCATTAGTAATGTGTTGTAGCTTCACTCATTAAGACACACTCATGTTCGATTGCCTGAAACATTTGGGTTGCACAATACCTCTGTTCTGAATTTCTTTCAAAATGAGTTTCAGTTTTGGCTTTGATTCTTGCATTTTCACCAATGTTTCCCAAAATATCCGTTCTGTGGAACCACTGGTTTTGGTCACCGTGCCTAAAAGATATTGCGCTGCTTCCTTTCTTCCCTGATTCTCCGACAGCTTACAGATGAACTGGGAAAAAGAGAAGAACACGTAGAATAAAAAGGTAAATGGGAAAAGGGAAGCAACAGATGAAGGAGTGGAATGCAAGGATGAACTAATGGAGGAAGTGAGGTAAGAAGAAAGATGGAAAGATAGAATCAGGAAGAACAAAAAAAAGCACCAGAAAGAAAGCAAGAGAAAGAAAGAGGTAGAAAGATATACATAAAAGAGAGAGAAAACAATATACAGCAGTGTCGTAATTGTGAAAAGCTGATATATTAATTATGCTCGATTCGTGAAGAATATTCATCTCAGCACATTGATGAGAACTTGCCTCCACTTGAGAAGAAGTGCTATGAGGGAGCTATTAGTAATGCTATCTATTGACTATAACATGAAACTTCCAGTTGAAAATTCGTGGGATAAACAACACTTTGGACTGTACAATATTGGCAGTGGAACTTAAGTTTTGGTTTTGGGTTTGAATCCACAAAATTGAACTATGATGTGAACATGAGATCCATGCTCTCACCTTAATAGTTTGTTGTACGTTGCCTTCTATGCTACAAACATAATAGCTTCAATGAATTTCTATATTAAAAGTGGATTGGGATTAACCACCATATTCAAAGAAAAAAACCAAAGATCCAAGTAAAACAATAAATTAGAAATCTGGTAGGAAACATTGAAAAGTTTGTAATGGCCAGGATTTTGTTGCAGTAAGAATTGGGGTGTTATCAATGGTCATTATTAGATTCGGGGTAATGATATCACGATGGAAGTTAATCATGAAACTCTGGACATTGAAGTCATAAATACCCTTCAACTCAATGTGATTCACCGTCCCCAACAGACACAACATTAACATCACCACAACTGCATGAATTTGGTGCTTTTTCAACACTTGTGCTTACATGTTATTGCAAAAAAGGCAGCTGAAAACAATAGAGTTGCTATATTCACAATGTGATCGATGAATCCAAGCATGCCAAATGCCTTCTTCACCACCCTGTCTACCTGTGAGACCACTTTTAAGGAACTATGCACCTGCACCCCTAGGTCTCTCTGCTCGACAACACTCCCTAAGGCCCTACCGTTAACCGTGTAAGTTCTGCCCTGGTTTGTCTTACCAAAATGTAACACTTTGCATTTGTCTAGATTAAACTCCATCTGCCATTCCTCAGCCCACTGGCCCAGTTGATTAAGATCCCATTGTACTCTTAGATAACCTTCTTCACGGTCCACTATGCCACCAATTTTGCTGTCATCCACAAGCTTACTAAACATCCGTCCTATATTCTTATCCAAATCATTTATATAAATGACAATCCTTGCGACACACCAACAATTGGATACAAACGATGAGGAAAAACTTCTCTCAGAAGGTCGTGGATCTGTGGAATTCTTTCCTGCAGTGAGCTGTAGCGGCTGGGTTGGTCATTATATTCAAGACTAAGATCGATGTTTAATCAGTAAGGGAACCAAGGATTACAAAAAGGCAGCAAAGTGAAGTTTAGGATTATCAGAGCAACCATGATCTCATTGAACGGCAGAACAGCTCGATGGGCCGAGTTCTGTTCCTACATCCTATGGTCTTATAGATATACTAGGTAAGGAATACTTGTTTCCCCTATTGGAGATTTCAATTATGTCAGGACATAGACTTAAATTGGTTGCTGGAATGATTAGTGTGAATGAGTGTGTGGATGCATCAAATTCTCTGCAAGCTTTGGTATGAAGAAGAAATACCAAGCATTAATAAGGGACTTGGATTACTTCTGAGTCACTGCAACCCATCAGGCTATGAACCAAGAGCTGCAAGTTAAAATTATATTACACAACATGTTTTTTTTTCAATTTCTTTCTGGCTAGTGCGTATATGCTGCACTGGATTGCCTTATTCTATGTCTTTATGTTTCTATGATGCCAAAACCACAAACTTGATATTCCACTTCAATCTGCAAACAATCTTGATTTAGAAATATTCTACCTTTCATTCACTGCAGCTGTGTAATAAGCCTATCTGGAATGTGGGTATACTACATCAAATCGAGTGCAATACTTCAAGAAAGCAGGTCATCAGAAACTTGTTAAGAACAAAGAGTGATGGAACGCAAATGCTCACTTTGTCACTAATGATGAAACTTCATAAAATGATAAATTTGCATGTAAGTATATTTCACTTTGATGTCACATTCATCATCCAATTTAGCCATTGATCGTTCATCTTTCTAATGAAGCCTTTCCTCCACCATGGAATAAGGATCTTTTTTTCTGGAATCATGAAATATTTCCTCCACAGTTCTTTCTTAATTTGTAAACTTTTTTCCCTAATTTTTTTTTATTGCTTAATAGCTGACATGATATGCTTACTTAAATGTATGTCATATCCCTCATGTGAAAGGCTCTTACCTTCAATATAAATTCGATATATTTTCAAGCTGTGGTCATTCTTGCCTACAGGGACATTCACTATGAGAAAATTACTTATTCATTACATCTAATCTGTTCTTTGTTTTTGTTTAAAAATGTTTCGTTGCTGCAAGAAACCATTTTGAAAGAGGTCTGCACGTTAATTTCTAAGTTACAGTTGCCAATTTGTTTTGAATGGTTTATAATTTGACACATGACCACACAGAACATGTATATTATGATTTAACTAGAGACCAATGACCTTTTTCTAAGAAGTAGACACATTGTGAGATCAAGGAACATAGTAAGAGAACAAAGCCAAACAATTCTACAGTTTTTTAACAAACAGCAATAAATTTTACTTAGTAACATTTATGCCAGTGGTCCACAATTTATGCACAGTTTATATTTAACATCCAGAACTAACAACAGGCAAACAGGGTAAGAGACTTTGATGGAACACTCCACAGAGCACATCAATTAGCAAATGTAATTAGGACAAGCCAAAGGATTTCTCAGCTAATCCCACCAGACATGAATAACATGGTGCGCTACCAAATTAATAAAATTTCACAAAGGGTTACAATTCTTCACTTTAGATGATCTGGACCTGACACTTCCTCAAGAGTCCCTCAGCATTATCAATGACATGAGTGGCACCTTACTGGCACTGGCACTTGAGCTTCATAAGATGACCCGTTTAAAACTTGACAACATATTTCTTATGGCAACTTTTCAACTTATTTCTAGTTAGAGCCAAACTTAGCTCTCTAAGTTCTGAATGGTACAATGATCATAGTGATAGGGCTTAGAACAAATATTGCATGCAACATAAATTAACAAAATCCATACAATCTATTCAGAAACTGAACTCACTGAGTATTCCAGTGTCTCTCCTAGAACTGCACACCCCAGCCACCACCAACCCCTCCGACCGTGGTATTTTTATTTATGTTCTTTACTAAGATCTTGTTGGGTGCAGAGCACACACAAGCTATTCTTACCAGTGAAATTTTCATCTTGGCATTTCTTACCTCTCCCTAAAATTGATCCTGTATCCTGACATTCGCTGACATGCGGTTTTCAACATTGCACTGATCTCATCCTTTATTAACAGGGCTATCAGGATGTGCAGGAATACTGAAGATTCATTTCCCAGCATTATGAACTTGCAACAACATTTTTGCAATTGTTCTCCAATCATCCTTATAAAATCCCTACAGTGCAGATAGAGGCCATTCGGCCTATCGAGCCTGCACTGACTCTCCGAAAAGCATTCCACCCAGACCCACAATAGCCCATGACCTTACGATAAATCTATGACCAAGCCTCTAAACCTATACATTCCGCAGACACTAAACAGCAATTCAGCATGGCTAATCTACCTAACCTGCCCATCTTTGGACTGTGGGAGGAAACTCGAACTTAGATCGTTGGTGCTGTGAAGCAGCAGTGCTATCCACTAAGCCACGGTGCCCTCTCAATTATTTCTATTTTGCTCTCAGTTCTTTATCTGTCCTTCAAGTAAACAGCCTTTCATTATTCTCTTTTTTTAAAAATAAATCATTTTCAGTACTCTGATACTATTTTCTGGAGCATTTTTACTTTTGTACCCTCTGACCCCTACTTTTATCATTGTTCATATCACTAACAAGCTGTATAGCCTTGTTTTTTTTTAAATTTCCAAAAGTTCCTTCATTTGCATGTTCATTTCAATTATTTTGTCAATTAGTAACAAAATAGTGCAAAAATTATATAGTACAACTTACCATATAATTTCCATTGCTCAATGAACCAGTTGCCATTAATGTCAAGGCAATACTCTCCACCAGGTGTAAAATTGCATCCTCCAATCTCTCATGGTAGAACAGGGTAATAAGGTTTAACTCCTTGTCGCTGTAACTATTCAGCAATTGACGAATTTCTTTACCATTATTGTCTGCAAAAAAGTGAACAAAATATACAGTTAAAAAATCTAATGAAAGTTATAGAAATATTACAATAAACAATTTCTACTTTCAACCATTGATACCAAATATTAATTTGCAATCAATTATTGTGCTATTTTACTTGCAGACTGTTCCCACCTCTATGCAGCAATTTCCAAAGAATTAATGGTCTTTTCCTTCTCCTCCTTCTACATGACAGAATCAAAAGTCTAAATTGTTTCAATTATCATTATTTATTTCTAATCACCCTGTTCAGAAATATTATCATACACTTTCAAAATTGACAGTCCAGAGACAGTTTGTTCCCGTTAGGGCAAAGGGCAAGGCAGGTAGGTGTAGGGAATGCTGGATGGCAAGAGAAATTGAGGTTTTCGTCAAGAAAAGGAAAGAAGCATCTGTCAGGTACAGACAGCAGAGATCAAGTGAATCCATGGAGAAGTATACTTAAGAGGGAAATCAGGAGGGCAAAAAGGGGACATGAAATAGCTTTAGCAAATAGAGTTAAGGAGAATCCAAGGGGATTCTAGAAATACATTAAGAACAAAAGAGTAACAAGGGAAAAAATACAGCCCCTTAAAAATCAGCAAGGTGCCTATGTATGGAACCGCAGGAGATGGGGAAGATACTAAATGAGTATTTGCAATCAGTATTTACTGTGGAGAAGGATATGGAAGATAGAGAACGTGGGGAAATAAATAGCGACATCTTGAAAAATGTCCATATTACAGAGGAGGAGATGGTGGACGTCTTAAAATGCATACAGGTGGATAAATCCCTGGAACCTGATCAGGTGTATCCTAGAACTCTGTGGAAAGCGAGGGAAGCGATTGCTGGGCCCTTTGCTGAGATATTTGTATCATCGATAGCCACAGGCGAGGTACCAGAAGACTGGAGGTTGGCTAACATGGGTACTGCTGCTTAAGAAAGGTGGTAAGGAAAAGCCAGGGAAGTATAGACTAGTGAGCCTGACATCAATGACAGGCAAGTTGCAGGGAATCCAGAGGGCCAGGATTTACATATATTTGGAAAGGCAAGGACTGGTCAGAGATAGCCAACATGGCTTTGTGCATGGGAAATTGTGTCTCACTAACTTGATTAAGTTTTTTGATGAAGGAATGAAGAGGATTGATGAGGGAAGAGCAGTGGACTTGATCTTTGTGGACTTCAGTAAAGCGTTCAACAAGGTTCCTCATGGTAGACTGGTTAGCAACGTTAGATCACATGGAATACAGGGAGAACCAGTCTTTTGGATACAGAACTAGCTTGAAGGTAGAAGACAGAGGGTGGTGGTAGAGAGTTCCTTTTCAGATTGGAGGCCTGTGACCAGCGATGTGCCAAAATGATTGGTGCTGGGTCCACTGCTTTTTGTCATTTATATAAATGATTTGGATGTGAACATAGGAGGTATGGTAAGTTTGTAGATGACACCAAAATTGGAGGTGTAGTGGATCTGAAGAAAGTTACCTCAGAGTACAGTGGGACCTTGATCAGATGGGCCAATGGCCTGAGGAGTGGTAGATGGAGTTTAATTTAGATAAATGTGAGGTGCTGCATTTTAGAAAGGCAAGTCAGAACAGGACATATACACTTAATAGTAAGGTCCTGGGGAATGTTGTTGACCAAAAAGACCTTGGAGTGCAGGTTTATAGTTCCTTGAAAGTGGAATCCCAGGTAGATAGGATAGTGAAGAAGGCATTTGGTATGCTTGCCTGTATTGGTTAGTGCATTGAGTATAGGGGCTGACAGGTCATATTGCAGCTGTACAGGACATTAGTTGGGACACATTGGAATACTGTGTGCAATTCTGGTCTCCCAGCTATAGGAAGGGTGTTGTGAAACTTGAAAGGATGCAGAAAAGATTTACAAGGATCTTGCCAGGGTTGGAGGGTTTGACCTATAGGGAGAGGCTGAATAGGCTGGGGCTTTATCTCCTGGAGTGTCGGAGGACGACCTTATAGAAGTTTACAAAATCATGAGGGGCATGGAAAGGGTAAATAGGCAAGGTCTTTTCCCCAGGGTGGTGGAGACCAAAACTAGACAACATATGAGAAATATTTAAAAGGGGCAATCTTTTCACATAGAGAGTGGTGTGTGTATGGAATGAGCTGCCAGAGGAAGTGGTGGAGGCTGGTACAATTACAACATTTAAAAGGCATCCAGACGGGTATATGAATAGAAGGGGTTTAAGAGGGATATGGGCTAAATGCTGGCAAATGGAACTAGATTTATTTAGGATATCTGGTTGGCACAGACGAGCTGGACCGAAGGGTCTGTTTCCATGCAATGAGCACCTTTCCACCACCAAAACCATTGTGACCTTTTTCTTTTGCTTTTCCTGCATAATTAGTGACCACCACCAGTAAAAACATCCATCTATCCAATTGATTATTTACAAGCAAAGCCCCTCATAGGCAATGCAAACATCAAAGGTGAGGGGGGTGGGTGTAGAAAGACAGGGAGGGGACTAAATCAAAATGGAGTTGGAGGGGAAAATAAAGCACTGTATCTCCTGTAGTGCCCACCCTACTGCTCAAAGACATCGAGATGGACACTCCGTGCTCCCTCTCAAAGGATACCTGGGCTTGAATGTAACCGCGGAAAAGGGGCAGACAGTCAGCTGAGGTGCCTCCTCCACAGTCCCGCTGCCTAGATCCATTTCTAGCCAGCCTGACTATCCAATTGCTGTTATAAGCACCATACATGTTCTCATGTAGCAGGATCACGAGCTTGGATGATCTCTTCTGTTGCCACAGAGCAGGTATGAAAAGATAAAACAACTATTCTTGTTTACAGGTAATGTGCTCAAGTGGCTAAGGACTGAATACTATTCATCAGCAAGTTGTGCTGAGGCAATGCAGAGATCCCTGCCTTGCTGTTCTCCATTCTGACAGTCAAAGTTACTTCCAAGCCTTTCCTGAAATTGTAACGTCCTATCCTGGAGTGTGTGATGCTCATCAGCTACTATTGCCGGTAATATAGCTGATCTTTGAACTTTACCATTTCCATATTGTCCCACGTTCACTCCGTCCGCCATAATTTTGCATCTATTCAGAAGCTAAGCAAAAGAAATGTCCCATTGTTAGATCGATCCAAATGCTGGCAGAGTATTTGATATTGTAGCTATTCAACAAATGTCATCGAATTAAATTCTAACGACAACAAAATGATTGCATAGACATGACAATACAATGACACTAAAAGTATGTAACTTTATTGATTAAGATCTCAGGTTATTACCTCCTGGTTATGTAATGGTCATAGCGATCGACAGCTCAGAAAAAGGTAATTCGGATTCATCCCTATTCTCAGTGATAGGTCAAGTAGATTAATATTTACCTGTCACTGTCAACACCAAGCACAGTCAGGATTTCCTGCGACCCCGCATGAAACTATCACTCAATGGGAACACAGCCAGAGTGAGAAATCCCAAGGGAACACGGTCTGGATTGAGGCCATACCCATACCCGGAGGGAGCTTCCGGGTCCAGACCGAGAGCATTCCACGTACTCCGGGCAGTGACATCACAATGCAAATAGAACGTTTCGGACAGAAGGCCTCCTGATTGGTCAGGAATAGTCAGCTCCAATTTCCCTTCACCTTCTCCTACCCGTAAGGTTTTAGCGCAGTGGACATTAGGCTGGTGGTGGAGTGGTACCTAGACTGTCATTTCCAGAATACTGTATTTACCATTCTTTAATAAGATTCTATCTCTAGGGGCCATCTAGTTGACTGTAAGTTTATTTTAGAAGAAATTTATTTTCAATGAGATAGTTGCTAGAAGATAAAAATGGCAGTCAGTAGGGTAGTTTGCTTCTCCTGCAGAATGTGGGAAATCAGAGACAGTTCAAACAATCCGTGATGAATACGTCTGCAGGAAGTGTGTTCAATTGCAGTTCCTGTCAGACCACGTGGATCGGTTGGACTGACAGTTGAACCCACTTTGGAGCACTCAGGAGGTGGAAAGTACCATAGACAGGCGTTTTAGAGATGTGTGGTCACAGCCAAGGTTCAGGCATCTAGATGGGTGACCGCTGGAAGGGACAGGCAGCAGCCAGTCAGTGCAGGTGACCTCTGTGTTTCAACCCTCTCTTACAAAGTATACCCTTATGGATACTGGATGGGGGTTGAGAAGAGAGATGTGTTATAGCCTATCAGGGGATGGTGACAGCAGGAGCCAGAGCAGTGGCACCACAGCTGGCTCTGTTGTTCAGCAGGAAGGGTCAAAATACACAACAGCAGTAGTAATAGGGGTCTGCATAGATAGGCATTTCTGTGGCTTCGAAAGGGACCAGGATGGTGTGTTGCCTCCCCCCTGCTTCCAGGGTCAAGGATGTCTCTGAGCAGGCACAAGATATTCTCAAAAGGAAGGGCGAGCAGCCAGAAGCTGTGATATGCATTGGTATGAGCAACATAGGCAACCCGTCTGGGGTTGTAATCTCAGGATTACTCCATGTGACATGTGCCAGTGAGGCAAGGAATCGGAAGCTAGAACAGTGAAATACGTGCTAAAGAGTTGGTGTAGGAGGGAGGGCTTCCAATATGTGTATCATTGGGCTGTCTTCCAGGGCAGGTGGGACACGAAGGAAGTGTTGCACCTAAATTGAAGTGGCATCGATATCCTGGCAGGGGGTTTTGCTGGTGTCACTTGGGATGGGTTTAAACCAGTGTGGCAGGGGACTGGGAACCAGAGCAGTAGGTCAGCAAGTGAAATGACTGAGGAGGAGTTAGAAATTAAGGCCAGTAAGGCTAAGTGGAAGAATAAACAGGGAGAGGTTACTGAATATGATAGGAATGGCAGTCTGAGGTGTGTCTGTTTTAATGTGAGGATTCTGACATGCAAGGCAGATGAATTTAAAGCTTGTATTTATGCATATAACTATGACATTGTAGCTATTACAGAGACTTGGTCTGAGAAGAAAAAGAAATGGCTGCTTAAATATTCCAGAATTTAGGTGTTTCAGGCAAAATAGAGAAGGATGTAAAATATGTGGAGGAGTTGTATTACTAATTAGGGAGAATATCACAGCTCTACTGAGGGAGTACACCTTGGAGGGCTCATCCAGTGAGGCCATATGGGTAGAGCTCAGGAATAAGAAGGGTGCAGTCACTTTGATGGGTTTGTACCACAGGCCTCCCAACACCCAGTGAGTGAAATATGTATGGACAGATTATGAAAAATGTGAAAACAACAAGATTGTTGTGGTGTGATTTTTAACTTTCTATGTGCATGGGGTTCTGCTATAACGTGTGTTCCAGCAACGTGAATTGGCTATAACATGACTGACAAATAGGGAAATGCTACTTCTAAAACATGAACTTGTGTTGGCTATAACACGATCTATCGAGTACACATTAACATCACGTGATCATTTTGTGGACTTTGTGCTGAGCATGTGCATTGTTAGCGCCGAGAGAGTCTCTGTGCTGGCATCACACGATTCTCGTGCTTTCTATGAGAGGTACAGTATTCAGTTTTGTTTTTGCAAATTCTGCTGTGTTAGCCACAAAAATGCAAGGACAAAGTGACAAGAATGTTATCAAGAAGCAACCTGATGATAAAACCAAACCCCCAAGAAACAGCCAGTAGACAATGACCCACGGCCATCCACTTCTGGATTAACTATTTTTCACCCTAACCCTGCAACCACAACTGCACCTGAAGGTGATGACAAATTTGTTAATTGAGCACAGGAGGGTTTCTTGATGCAATATGTATATGGTCCAACTGGGGAAGGGAGATATTAGACCTGGTATTGGAGAATGAGCCCAGCCCGATAATCAAAGTTTCAGTGGTGGAACATTTGGGAATAGTGACTATAATTCTGTGAGTTATAAGTTACTTATGATAAGTCTCTGGGCAAAAGTACTAAATCGGGGGAAGCTAACTACAACATTAGACACGACCTGGGGAATGTACATTGTGGGCAGCTGCTTGAGGGCAATGTGGGAATCTTTTAAAGGCTAGTTAATTCAAGTTCATGACCAGCATGTTTCTGTGAAAGTGAAGGATAATGATGGCTAGATTCGGGAACCTTGCATGACAATTGGTTAGGCTGCTTTTGGAGTACTGCATTCAATTCTGGTCTCCCTGCTATACGAAAGTTGTCGTGAAACTTGAAAGGGTTCAGAAATGATTTACAAGGATGTTGCTGGAGTTTGGAGGGTTTGAGCTCAGGGGAGAGGCTGAATAGGCTCGGGCTATTTTCCCTTGACCATCAGAGTTGAGGGGTGATTGTCTAGAGGTTTATAAAATCATGAGGGGCATGGATAGGATAAATAGCTAAGGTCATCTTCCCAGAGGAGGGGGGTCCAAAGCTAGCGGGCATATGTTTAAGGTGAGAGGAGAAAGATTTAAACGGGACCTAAGGGGCAATGCTTTCACACAGTGGGTGATGTATGTATGGAATGAGGAAGTGGTGAAAGCTGGTACAATTAAGACATTTAAAAGGCAATTGGATGGGTACATGAATGGGCCAAATGCTGGCAAATGGGACTAGATTAATTTATGATATCTGATTGGCAAGGATGAGTTGGACTGAAGGGTCTGTTTCTGTGCTGTACAGCTCTATGACTCTATGACAATGAGAAATTGTGAGCTTAGAAAGAAAGATGAGGCATGTGTAAGGATTAAGAAACTGAAGACAGAAAAAGCCCTCGCAGAATATAAAGAAAGCATGAAAGAACTTAAACAAGGAGTTAGGAGGGATAAAGGGGTCATGAATTGACCTTAGCAAACAGGATGAAGGGTCTAGGCCTGAAACGTCAGCTTTCCTGCTCCTATGATGCTGCTTGGCCTGCTGTGCTCATCCAGCTCTACACCTTGTTATCTCAGATTTTCCAGCATCTGCAGTTCCTACTATCTCTAACTAAAAGATCAATGCTTTTCAGACATAATAAGGAAGAAGATGCTAGCTCTTGGGGAAAGGACAGGTCGAGTTCAGGGCAAAGGAGGAAATTTCTGCATGAAGCTAGACGATGTGTGTAAGGTCTTTAACGAATTGTTTGCATCGGTATTCACAAGAGTTAGACATGGTGAATGGTGAGTCGGGAAAAGTGTATGTTGATAACTGTAAGGCAAGTGATATGTTAGGCGTTTTGAAAAGCATTAAGGTAGGCAAGCCCCCAGGACCTGATTGGAGCTATTCCAGAATACACGGGGAGGAAATTGCTGGGGCCTTGTAAAAAAATCTTGATATCCTCTTTAGTCACAGGAGAGGTCGAAGAGGACTGGAGAAGAGCTAATGTTGTTCCCTTGTTTCAGAAGGGCAACAGGGATAAATGGGAAATTACATGCTGGTGAACCTTATGTCAGTGGTAGGGAAGATTCTTAGGGCCAGGATTTACTCACATTTGGGGAAAAGAAGGGACTAATGAGTGCCAGGCAACATAGCTTTGTGTGGGGAAGGTCATGCTTCACAAACTTGATTCGAGTTTTTGACGAAGTGGCAAAGCTGACTGAAGAGAGCAGTGGCTGATATTGTCTAGATAGACTTTATCAAGGTCTTTGACAGGGTCCCTCATGGCAAGCTTATACTGGAGGTGAAGTCTTATGGGATTCTTGGTGAGCTGGTAAGATGGATACAAAGTTGGCTTGGTCATAGAAGACAGAGTGTAATGATGGAAGAGTATTTTTCTGATTGGAGATCTGTGATCAGGGATCAGTGCTGGGACCTCTGCTATTTTGTGTATCGATGATTTGGAGGAGGATGTCTGTATCTGAGTAGTAAGTTTTCAGACCACACAAGATTGGAGGAGCTGTGGATAGTGAGGAGGATTGCTAGAGGACACAGTGGGATTATAGATAGGCTGGAGACTTGGTGGAGAAATGACAGATGGAGTTTAATCCAGAAAAATGCAAGGTGATGCAGTTGGAAGGTCTAATGTATGAGGGAAGTACACAGTAAATGGCAGAACCTTAGAAGCATTAACATACAGGGGCTTGAGGCATGCAGGTCCACAGTTCTCTGAAAGTAGCAACATAAGTGGATGAGGCAGCCTAGAAAGTGTATGCCACGCTTGCCTTCATTGTTTACGACGTAGAGTGCAAAAATTGGCAAGTCATGTTGCAGCTGTGTAGAACGTTAGCAAGGCCACATTTGAAGTATTGCATACAGTTCTTGTCATCACACTACCAGAAGGATGTAGGGGCATTGGAGAAGGTACAGAACAGGTTTCCCAGGATGTTGCCTGGTTTGGAAGGTATTAGCTATGAAGACAGATTGGACTCAGTTGATTTTCACTTGAGCGCAGAGACTGAAAGGTGACCTGATAGAGGTTTACAAAATTTTGTGTGACGTCCTTAACGAATAGTTTGCATTGGCATTCACAAGAGTTAGACATGGTGATGAGAAACAGAGGATGAGAAACTGAGGAGGTGAAACAGTCAATGAGAAACAGACTGGCAGAAGCAGAGAATGAGGACAGGATGGACAGTTGGAGTCTTTTTCCCAGGGTAGAAATCTCAATTACTAGGGGACATAGGCTTAA